TGGACTTAAGCGGGTCCGGCTGCACAATGCAGGGCAAGTCACATGGTGAGGACTCAGTGGTGCTATGCGTCCCGGGTGATACCGTGTGGGTTGGGGGGTACTATGTGGGGCACGCCATAATATTTGAACTGGATGGCACTGTGGGCTGGCCGGCACATCGCAGGCAGGTTTTAGTATGTGGACTGGATGGCATCCTGGGCTGGCCTATAGAGTGGGGCAGGTGGGCAATGTTACATGGGTTGGGTGGTACTATGCAAGACGTTGGGTGAATGATACAGAGGGAAAAGAAAAAAACAAGAACTTAGGGCCTAGTCAATTCAGGACTGCTAGAAATCTCTGGAACGGATTGCTGTCAGATTCATGCAGGCATGGAGACTGCTACGCAGAAGACAAACGCATCCATGTGGGTCTGCTTAAAGATATAGGCGGGAGAAATGACAAGATCCGGGCCACATGAGAAACGACGGTATCCACGCGGCACGAGAAATGGGGCACTAGAAACTACAGAATCCACATTCAGGCCCTGCAAAAAAAACAATGAAGATTCTGCCTGGCCGCTCTACACGTGGACCCCGAAGAAAAAGATTCCCTGGCCGCTCTACACGTGGACCCCGAAGAAAAAGATTCCCCGAAGAACCGCGTGCTCCCATAGTCGTCGTGGCTTGACTCCAGGACCTCCTGCGCGCAAAAGCAAAACCAACATCCAAAAAGCACAGACCAAAACGGGAACTTCGAGCCGTTCACCTCTTCCTCGCCCGACACAAAAAAGCACAGAAACAAAAATGTGGCCTAATGGGACTCAGCGTCACACGAGATCTGGGAAAAACTTTTTGCTGGGCCCGTTCGGGAGCGTCTGACAGGGCCCGCTGTGCAATTTATGAGTTGATGTAGATAAGCAACATTAGAGATGGGGAAAGCGCTTAAATGCGAGCTCATCCATGCACAGGAGATGAGGGACAACTGTCTTGCATACTTGACAGAGTTGGAGGAGCTCACATGAGCAGACAGGTGATGTCCGCATTGGTTGTCTGAAGATGACCGAGCACCAAACGTTCTCTGGAGTGGATGCATTATGATTGATTGAATTTGTGGTTCTGTGGCCTTTTTTCATTTCAACGAAACGTCCATTTACTTACTGTGAATAATCGATGGTAGATAACTGATTCTCTGATATCGCCATTATTACTT